CGGCGGAGAGCAAACTCTCATTCACTCTTGATGCATGCATGTGTGACTTCGGCTGACATTCGGATCTAACGCCGTAGTTTATCATCGCGAGGCATCGTTGTGTCACAGCTCGCGGACCAAATGGAAACTGCCATATAAATGAGCCAGTGACTTTTGAACAAGTCAAATAAAGTATGACGGAAGAAGCTGCTGGTCGCACGATATGAACTAACGAAAATGGAACAAAACTTTTGAATGCAGAAAGAGGAACGGGATCCTCCATGCGCGATGGAAGTGCTACCGGCCGGCGCGCGGCCACGACGACGGTGTCCGTGGCGACCGGCAGCGGTAGTGGCGCTTGAGAGAGTAGACAAGAGCCAGCATTAGACTTCAGTCCGTTCAGAAATTTCTTCCACCGCGTTGAAAACAGATCCAGACGGACCGGTTTGAAACACGCTGCTTGCTTCAGCGACGAAGAAGAACACATTTTAGAAAACGCCATTGTGTCCAACGGAGCATCTCGACTCCTGCTGCCATCGTCGACAACTAGAGCATACCTAGGTGGGGCTGCTGCTTCGGATGCTGCTTCTGTTAGCTTTGTTAGGCAGACACCTAGCCCAGCGACTGACTGACTGACTGACTGACGGAGCGAACGATCGAGCGGGCGGGCGAACGGTCGAGGGAGCGGACAAACAGACAGACAGACAAACGACCAAATAACCACTCGAGTTAACCCAGTCAGCCAGTCGGTGAATCAATACCGAAGTCACCCTACAACACGGCGAACAAGGACAACGATGATAGCCTGCAACAACAGTGAGGCTTCAAAATCTCAGATGCACTGATCCAGTTATCTAATTTGCATCCGCACAATGCCAGTAGTACGTTCCAGAGAACGAAGCGGATCCTTCCGCCGAGCGAGAGTAAGAGTTGTAGCCGATGTGTCGGCCAGAAAGGACCGCTACGCGGAGTCGAAACTCTCCTCGAATATCCATCTCCTCGAACTGTTGGCCGGACCACAATGACCTCCAGAACAAACATAAACATAATCGTATCGAGCTCAACACAATCGAACGAGCGGCCGGCGACCAGCAGCGGTCCGAGCGGTATTGTCCGCTCGGGGGTTGGACGAGTTGTCCGGGTTCACAATCGCCTTTCTCCGGCTAATTTATTCCATTGACGATTGAGCGGAGCCTTTCAACAAGGGGTGATGCGACATCGATGATACCGGGGCGAGATGAAGCCACTCGGGGTGCTCGCTACCGCATCGACGGCCGCTCGCCGATTGTCAACAGCTTCCCAACAGAAGGGGGTTCCGTGCGATCTCGATGTCTTCTTTCATCGTATGAAGGTTGCGGAACGACGATCTACGGCTACCGACGTTGCTGCGAGCATGAATTTCGAGGAAAATGGCAGAATACCGCTGTCCGCGCGTTTTCGGCTCATCAAAATTCACGGCAACCTCGCGTCGCTGTCTGGAAGGGTTGGAGCCTCAGGGGACTTGAAAGCGATGCCAGGTTGGATTCGAGAAGAAAAATATTGAAGCCACTAGAAATGAGGCAATGCCGTCGACAGAGAAATAAATGTTCGCCTTGACGTAACGCGCATATGAAACGCTACCGGAGAAATTCCTCCAATGGCTGCGCGGGGAATTCGGATGGGATGGATCGCGCGGGTCATCGTCTACAGTGTTTCGTATTTCTTCTTTGCGAATATCGATCAGCGCTAAGTTTGTCCCTGTAGGCTCCGCCGATCCGTCTAGCTGTCACACGTTGTCAGTTCGGCCGGAATCGGAAGCAAGGGTTTTTTTTTCTGCGAACCAAATTCAATCTGTTGAAATTGTTCTAGATAGGGTTCCGTCTTCCGTGCAGAAAATCTACTGTGAGCCGTTATCGAATCGGACCGACAGAAAAACCACAGCGACAACGACGACGTGTTGCAGCAACAATGAAACCGCACGTCGCATGGTCGCTTGCTGACAATAACTCCTTACAGAAGATGCAACAGCAGAAGAACATGACCAAAGGCCCAGTAACCGCAATGCGTCAAAAACTGACGGGGACGCTGAGATGCGCTGGACGAGCAGACCGTTTTCAGGCGGGGAGCGCTTCACGAACACTCGTATAAGCTGCTCGCGGATTCACTTGTCGCTTAAACGCGCAGCAGAAGTGCGAAATCTTTGAGGGAGCCGAATTTTCCCCGCTCCGGCTATCCTTGATCCGAGGCTCGGGAGCCGGACAGGGATGCGACGGTATCGTACGAGACAAGTGTTGCCTTGGGAAACCCTGGCTTCAACACTCATTAGGGTCGTCTCGGACTCCGACGAGTATTTTACTCTGATCGTGAGCTGAGCCCGTCAAGCGAACAAAGGGTGCGGTCAGATGGATCGACCTTCACCGTTGTACATTCGACAAGGATCGCATTTTTTTCCCCTTCGAAGACACGCGTGGCATTTTAATGTTTCTTTTTCTTTCCCAAAAGTATTCTCGTGGTGTGATCATCTCGCACTGTCGTCTTGTTTGTCCGGAGCTCCGGGGCAGACAAGCAGCTCGAACTTCAGGGATCGCTAGCCAGCGTTCGTCTAATTCATGTCGTTGATTGAATTCGTCGACGACAAAAGAACTCCCGCGGAGCGGACAGCAGTTCGATATTTCGAAGCTGTCTCTTCTCGTTCGCCATTTACAGAATGTGATACTGGAGTTGCCGACGGAGCCGGCCCGACCTAGCGACGAATCAGGAATCGTTGCAGGAAAATTCCCCCTTGAAATTCGGGGGCGGGGATCGATGCTCTCAATTACCCCCGCTCGCGGGTTCCGGGTCGATCTCAGAGGGAACGGATGGGTGGATAGATGGATTAAGCCATCCATCGATCTGTCTACAGATTCGTTTCCAAACGCCCGCCTGCATCTCCGATACTGAACGAGCCTCAGTCAGCGAGACGCACAATCAAGAAACGATCCATCCATCCTGCCAGTCAGTCAGTCAATCAGTCCTCCGATTCGTCCGTTACTAAATGAGGAATCTAGACGCTCGACGAAGAGAACGCCACTCGTCAGATCGGAGATATTCTATTAGTCAAGAAATTCTTGCGCATATTTTACACAGTTGATGATTGAAGCTGTGTCGGAGTCGCTCCGATAGATCGATAACATTTATAGACAACTGCAAAGCCCAAATAAGTGGCAGCACGGAACGACTGACCGACAGACGGACGTACGGACGGACGGACGGCAGGCAGAAAGACGCACAGACCAGCCAAATGACCGACAGACTGGCAACCGCGTCCACAACAAGGTCGCTTGCTTGTTGCTCGCTCAGTCGGGGTGTCCGTCCGTCCGTTGTTCTGTCCGCCTGTCCGATTCGTTTGATCACCGGGCTACGTATTTCCATCTGTGGATCCGTCGATCTGTTGGCTGCTCACTTGATTTAAAGCTCTGTGGATGCTCGATCGGTGTACTGTCCGGCGCCCTTGTTGCTCTTGATCGAGAAGGAAGACGCATCGATTACTTTCATTCCCATTTCATGTTTTGTCTGAAGCCCTGCATCGCTCGATCGATATGAACGTCCGCGCAGATGTCAAAGGAGAACGTGTGAAAGCTCTTTTTCATCGGTGGCCGGAATCCCTTTCGAAGGGTGACTAGCACCGCACTGAATCGTTCATTCCAGATGATAAGCAATCGGCCGATCAATCAACGTTGGTGAACGTTGGTCGTGTGCGCGAGCGTCAACGCGATCCCTTCGAGGGACGAGCAGAGAAGTCATTTTCACGTTGTCTTGGCTAGCGATGAAGTGGATGCGAACTCGATTCGAGGTCCTGTTCGCCTCCGCGAAAACCTCTGGCCCCCTCGAGCGAAGAGCTATTTGTTTGTGTGTATGTCAAGCAACGTTTATGGCGGACGCATTTTCTGCCCGAAAGCCAGAAGGAAACGTCATGCACCTATTGGGCGAACGTTTAGCTCGGAAAAGACCAAACAATACGTGCTGTTCGTTGAGATAATAATAAAAAAGAGCGGTATTACGAGAATTACTGCCCAACAGACTGGCTGACTGACTGACTGAGTGAATGACTGGCTGCCAAGCAATCGGGCCGACACATCGAGCAAGTTGTCGACAACTAAAGGCAGTCAGGGGCTTCTGAAGTTCACAGTTGATGCGCTTTCGGTGGTTGGTGAACGGGCGTGCTTTGTGTTCGAATAATTTCTCATCCTTTTCAAGCTTCTTCGCCATAACCGCTCTCAGCGTCTTCCGTCTGAGCGTCAACCCCCCCGTCACCTCAGTGAGATGCGCTTCCAATCGTTGTTCGAGCCCCAGCGAACGCTTCGGACTCTTGGTAGGGGCTCACGGCATCGAACGATGTCAAAATCACGCAAATTCGTCCACTCCCAGATCGACAGGTTCGGGGACGAGGTCGATACCGTGGGAATTTTCAGAAGGATGTCCGATATTGCCCGCAAGAGACAAGCAAACATTTCACGATGTACAATGCCCCGCGTTGTTATTCGAATATCATGCTTGTGAGTGTGAGTGCTTCGGTGTGAGTCGGGAGCTTCTAGATTGCTCCGAGTGGGCATCCGACGGCGGTCAGCTTTCGGACAAAGAGCCCGCTTACCACAAATTGGTAAGATGGCGTTGAGATCAACCTGGGCTCTGATGTGGGCACCATCAACGGCATGCTTTTGTGCTCCGAATTCCCATTCAGATCTGTGTATGTATATCCAGGCACGTTTGCCTTGAGATTGGGCAACCTGACGCTTCCCCCGATGCTGACCCCAGCGAGTGTGGAGAAGAGGTTTCTTGCACAGGTCGAGTCTCAGCTCTCGGAGGAAGTTTATCCAATCTGTGCTCGGGCGAGCTTTTTGCCTCGTCCGGTAGAACGCTGGCGACGGGCATGTCATTAAGCCTCGGACGTAACCTCGTGAACCACAAACGGTCACTCCGACCAGTCTCGTCCTTGTTGCGCGAGCTGTCAAAACAAAACAGGACTAGCTACCCTGTCCAGAAGGACTTATGGAAGTACTCACGTCTTGGAAGTCCACCATGTCACCTGGTGGTCGGGATCCCGCCGCTTTCCTGTAGGAAACGGACGCCACGGGGGTGACCGTGGCTAGCATTTTGCTTCAACTCCGTCTGCGGTTATTTTGTGTAACGGTACCGCGACGGAGCGTTGCTAAAGATAAGGTGATCTCGGTGATCGATGATGGAGCGGACGATGATGGCGTCAGTGATGACGTACAACTTCGCGCTGAAGAGCTCCTCGTGCGCGTGAACACCAAATTCCTTTTGAAAGTCGTGTACACTGTGTGAGTTGCCGCCGCCGTCGTCGCCGTCACCACCGAGTTCAGCGCAGTTGTTTCCTGTGCCGATGGAACCGCTGTTGTCCACTCGTGTTCTGAAGCATCACTGAGTTCACTTGAAGTTTGTGGTAAGCACTCAGGCAGCCAGTCAATCAGGCAGGCGGGCAGGCAGGCAAGCGAACAGACAGGCAAACAGGCTCTTTCGCGCACGGACAGACAGCCACGGGCAGTTCGCTGTCCGCGACGTAACTGAGAGTGAAGGGAGGTGAAGTCGAGTAAGCGCCTCCCCAAGACCCGCCTCCGAAGTCCTCCTCGGTGTGAGTCCCTCGCCAACTTCGGCTCTCGCCTAGCGAAGCCGCTGCTGCCACCGCTGCTGCGGCGGCTGCCGCTGACGACACGGCGGTGGTGACGGCGAGCGCACTGCAACTGAAGTTCCAGAGCAGAGCAAAAGGACCTGCCAAAGATTGTCATTGATTGCCCGGCTGGAGGAATCATTTCCTGAGGTCCTCTCGATTTCTCTCGTCCACATTGAGGAAGATAGGATGAAGACTCCATTGTTTTTCTATCACACAGAGACCGAGCTCCGAGCAGGCCAGAAAAGATTTCCTCTGCCCAAAAGATGATTAGAGACTGAACGTGGAACATCATGAACACGAGGGGAAAAGGGATAAGACGAGACGAGCCACGATTCAGATGAGGATCCACGATCGGGTATGGATGATAACCGTCGTAGACTGGTGAGGAATCGGTCCCATGCCCTGACGGAAACTAGAGGCTTCCGTCCTTCAAGTGACTCTCTGGGAATCTCGTTCCAGCTAAACCGCTCGCTCTGACCCAAGCCCACTCAGAACAATCGGATAGGCAACACTTCGAGTGCTGAATGACAGGACTTGTCGTCACCGACAGGGCCGACTTGCGGTGGTACAGGTCTGAATTTCGCAATATCGACATATACGAGAGCAGCGAACTGATTAGAGCTCGCTCGGGTTTCCACCCTCGTGCTGAGCAGACTACGCTTGCTAGTTCGATTCCATCCCTTTATCTACGTTGGAAAAAGGGAAAATAAGCTTGGTGGCATCCAGAGATTTACGATGCTCGCTCATAAGCGGAGCGGAACATTTATGACTCTGGAATATAACGGATATAACAACGTACCGTGGCATAAAATTTATGACGCCGATGATTGAAGAGGACGCCTACTTGTATAGCTTTTCATGTGTCTTTGTGTTAGTGTGTGCGCGCGTTTGTGTACTGAACCCCGCTAGATTGAACGAACGCCTTCGCCGCGGATTAAATTCTCTCTGTGGGATTGACAAAGTGCACAAACGCCCGACGATCGCGGCAATTTCTTGCTCGGCTAAGCTCCGATGAGATTCCAAGAGGTTTGGCCGACGGACTGACATTGACGAAGACTTGTAACTTGTAAGTCAAGATCGATGTTCGCCCCATTACAATCCTTGTCATACGAAATACGCTCTCAATCGACGGTCGATAGCTCAGGTATGAGAACAGCCGACAACATCGCTCCGGAAAGCGAGCACATGAGTTTCGATGAAAAAAAATCGCTTGCGGGAATGGTGGGAGGCTCAGAGTGGACCCGAAGAATCGGGAATCACATCGAATGACTTGTTGAGTATTCCCACGAAAGAGCGCACGGAGTTCCACTCGAATTATGTTGGCTCTTGTGTTTGCCCGGATCCAACACCGCCCGTCGGATGCATCCGAAAAACACATTCCGGCACTAGGGTCGAAGACTCGGATCCAAAGTTCCGAATCCGTGGAAGTCATGACAGTCGCGATCATCAGAAAAGTCGACCAGGACTTCGGAATGGCAGAGATCCGCATCGATATCCTTGGAGAATACGAAGGAATGGAGAAGTGATTCCGCGGTCACGTACCGATTTTCGACGCAATTTTCGCAATTATTGAGTTTCTACATGTCGCGGCCGAGAACGAGTCACCCGGAGAACGATCAGACATGAGCTCGGATCATCCTGGGCATATGTTCCCGATCCGGGGAAAATTTTCCCAGATGATCGCCGAGCTCAATCGAGACGAATCTCCTGTTGCTGAGATAAATGCATCACCTGTGGTCGGAGGCAGCGAGCAGGCAGGCAGCCGAATGTTTCGCGGAGCCAGAAGGCTGACGGCGATTTTCCGTAGAGATAGGCTACTACTAAACTTGGTCTCGTGCCGCTGCCCCTGAGCTGAGGGGCGGTCGCACCTCTTGGTCATTACACTTACTTAGAGCTAATGTTTTTTTCCTTTCCTCCACGCATACGCGCACACACAAACCATTGATTTCGGTTTGCCGATGCTACAACCGATCCCGCACGCCACGACTTGCGTACGCTCTTCTTGTGTTGTACCGCCTGCTGCTGTAGCCCAGTACCAATTAATAGCTTCATTGATCCACTACAACGAGTGAGTGAGGCCCTTGAGAAATTCCTCCCAAGGATTTATTGAAGTACGAGCCGCTTCCTTCCTTCGATGATTTCTTCTCCCTTCAGCGAGACAAGGGTTCCTCCGGACCTTTGAAATCTATTGTAACATAGTGAATAGCAATTCGGGTGCTCCCGATCCAATCAAATCATATCTCTCGGAACGCCTCAGCGATCTCTCTGTATTTAGATCGAGACGATTCCTACCCTGGGTTCGTCTAGGTGTCTATTGCCGTAGGACGGTGACGCAAAAAAAGGAACATTCGGTCGAGAGAGAGAGAGATATTTTCACCCTCCACATATCGGAATCGAAGCAGGGTATTTATTATATTTCTTCTATACTTTTCTATGATAGTCATTATATTATGTTTTTGGCGCGGAGAACCGTTCGATATTCGGTCAACTCTGAAATCGGAGAGACCGAAACTTCATTCGGGGAGAGTCGTCATCCGCGGAAAGTCATCGAGTCCTGTTCTCCAGCAGAAAGTCTTCTGGCTTTTCATCCCAGGAGTCGATTAGAATTCCGAAGCTCGGGCCATCTTTCGGGTGGGGAGCTCCCTCCGGCGAAGCAGAAAGATATACCTATCCGAAATTATGAGAAGCGCCCGCAGGAGGAGAATGAAAAACGGGAATCACGCTGACGACATCGGCCCCGCGTAAGCTCCACGGACTTGCCTATTGTGACTTCTGAGTTCGCGTAGGGATCCGAAGAAGAAACGCCTTCGTTCCGCTAGGCGATATCGTGTTGTAATCAAGTGGTCGGGGTGCTCGCTGTTAATTGTCCACCGTTCTGACCTCCACCCCTCACGGAGACCGTTGCTCGTACACCTGTCGAGCTGCTAGTCGGCTGCCTATTTCAAAGCTTGGTCTGCAGCGAGCCCGGTGCAATACATTTGACTTCGTGAAGCTGACGCTTAACGGTGGCGGCTGCGGGAGCGACGACGACGACGTCGATACAACTAGCTTTACCTCTGCGACGACGACTACTTACACTAGCACTATGGTCGGAGTTAGACACCGTGAGTCGTGAGCGAGGCTAGCTGCCAGACGAGCGAGCAAGCAAGTGAGCGAATCAACGAACGAGTGAGCGAAAGAGCACCCAATGCTTCTGTTCATTGATAAGCTGGGCGTTGCTGGCTTCATTCTTCTATACGCCGTACTACTACTCGCCGTGGGGGTCCGGCATGATCCGAACGAAGCACTTACTCTACTGCTTCGCGAGTTCGCGATACACCAAGGAGTGTTGTTGTTGTTGTTGTCTCGGTCGCCGCCGCCGCCGCTGCTACCAGTGCTACAAATACTTTCGTACCTGTGAACGACGAACGTAGCGCACCAACCGAGATACTGATTTATTATGATTGACTTGCGGCTCGACGCTGCTGCTCGTGCGGTCAGTCTCGAGAGCCGGTGAGGTACTTGGCACCTTCGTGGTCAAACTTCCTGTTCTGCGAGTGTCACGTACCTCGAGCGTCGGACCGAGCGAACGCATCCCAACCAGTCGACGAAAAACAAATATTCATCCGCGGAAAATATCGATCGAGTCACGTACACCAACACTCGTTTGCTAGAATGAGGTAATGCTGGGAGAAGACCTCATTGATACCGGTGGTCACCTCCAGACATTCGCGGAGAACTTCGCCACGGTCGGTGGAATTGCTACTTTATCACGTCACCAGAATGTTTTTTTCCGTACCTACGAAACGCGTTGATATACCAAGCGGAATCCAATTTGGTGCGGACAGGAGCTCAAGCTTCTGAACGCGGCTCCTCTTCTGAATAATGATGATAATGTCTCAAAACCTCAACACGTCACTCTTGAACCGAATGACGTTTGATCGGAGTAGACGAGGGAAATTCGCCGCGCTCTCAAGTCTCGGATTCCACTCTCGAATCGATAGGCTCCCGATCAGTCCAGCAACGCCGACGTGAATCTCAAATTATGACGTCATCACCAAAATGAGGATCGTTCCCGAACTATATCCCATAAGGAGCTCACAACTTGCCGAAAATTGTTGCTCTCGCTGAAAACTTCCTAAATACTTCCACTACGGGACGTGGACCGACACCATCGATGATGATCATCTGAGCCTACCCCCACACCCTGACCGGCAAACGAAGAAGAGCAGGGATGGGGCAGCTGAAAACCCCTATCCAGCTCTGACCCCGAGGTCAGGGGGATCGGCCTGAGGTGATTCCAATTTCCAGGGAATCGCCATCTGAAGTTTCATGCCAGGGTGGGAGACAATGTCTTCTGGAGCTTCGGCTTCTGCCATCGCAGAATGCGCGAGATCTCAATCCCGACCAGAATCCGGCCCTATCCTCTTCGGCTCGATAGAGGAATCCGAACGGAAGGAAGTACGCCTATTTCTGCAGGCA